GTCTGTAATGATGCCTTCAGCTCCATAAACAGAGCAAGCTGCAAACGACATAGACCCGAAATTCAAAAGCAACAAGCCTTGGGCCTTTCCGGCAAAGGTTTGCAAAATCCTTGCGACGATTAGCTGGACTACTGTATATGAGTGCAGCATAGAGCTGACACAAAACCTAGAACTTCTTAACGTTGCCATCCCGCCTGTACTCAAGCCTAAGGTTCGCAAGCAGTGAGGCCACGGTCAGAGTTGTAAGAAGAGTGAAGGGACGACTTCGCAAGGTTGCACTGTCTGGGTGGGCAGGAAGCATCAAATCAAGGGTGTAGATGACGAAGAAGCGGAGTATAAGGCCGTCCAATGCCCGTTCCATATCACTCAATAATGCAATGGGTGCAACCAACGTTAAGCAGCTGCTATCACGCAGCATCGTCCTTTCCGATGATCTTGCAAACTTGGGAAAGTACGAGAGCAACAGGACAGCGAGATTGCCATCCCCACACTGTGCATCGACAATAGAAGATACGTCAGCCAGTGGAGTAGACTTCATGCTGATAAAAAGGAGGATGAAGAGGCCTCTTCAACTCATGGCTACCATGTGTTTGGAGCATGCTGATGCTGGAAACTGGACCAACAAGTGAGATTACATTCCTGTATTGTATTCACCATAGCACACTAGAGCTAATGATTGGATACAATGTATATCACAGGGATAAAGTCGACTCGGCCAGTTCGACACCGATAATAATGCTACGTGCACAGTCAGTGGATGTTCAGTCCTGTGACAGATCCCTCATAATTGTTCCTCCAGGAATGATAGAGGACATAACACCACCAAACGAGTTAATGGGTGTTTAGGATGAGTGTCAGCAACAGTGTAGAGGGGACCTGAAGGCTCAGCAAGGGGACCCAGGCTACAACTATCCTACACAACAGAAATACAGAATGTAAGTACTAGAATGTAGTTGGAACTTGTAAAACAGACAGAGAGAGAGAGTGAGACAAGTGTAAGGTATATAGAGTAAGCCTAAAAGTACAGGACTATCTGGAGTAGACAAGATCAAGACTACAGGACCAGTCTGATCTCATATACCTATATATACTAAACTACACAAGAGTACTCAGGGAATAGTGAGCTACTAAGAATGAAAGAAAGGAAGGTCAAAGATAAAGGTACAAAGAATGAAGGGATAGATAAAGGGTAAAAGACTATAGAAGGAACAAAGAATAAAGGGGTGGACAAAGGAACAGAATGATAAAGTAAGGAGGGGTAGTAGTAAGAGTTATAAGGAGAGTCAGTCTGTATATAATATATAGACAGTACTCTCAAGGGACAGAAGTCCTAAGTTCTAGTATGGAAGAGTGTAGATCCTGTAGAACTAAAGGTACAAGAGTAGAGAACTGTAACATTACCCTTTCTCTAAAACCAATCATTCTAATTGGTAAGTATTAGGCTTAGTTAGTAGTTTAAATATAGGTCAGAACAGTAGAGTTTGGAGATCTATAAGATAGAGCTAGTATAGAGCACTTGGATAAAGTTGATAGAAGCCTCAGATTGCCTCAGTAGTATGGGTGAGATTCTCAGCAGGTTCCTAAGTGTGTTCTTCAACTAAGTACCCTTTCTAGTAGACAAGGAACTTAAGCTTTCTGTACACTAGCTTAACATCTACTACATACTCTACTTTGTATTCTAGTTCAGAACTAACAAGTTCTAGTAGAGGTAGTAAGAGTCTTTGTTATAAAGGAAAACCTGGGTTATAGTACTAAGACAATAGAACCTTGTTAAACACTGAGTGTATACACTTCTAAGTTGTTAGAAGTTAGAGTTTATAAGTAAAGGTACTAACCTTCTTCTTAATAACAAAGGGTCTAAAGTACTTGTTGTCTAACTTCTTTATTAGACAATTCATAGTTAGATTAATAGCTTCTAGTATAACTTTGTTACTAGACTAGTAATCCTTAGCTACAGACCTCTTCCAATTATAGTTCTACTTTATAACCTATACTGTCTTCTCTAAAAGAGCTTGTATATCCTCCCTAGTCTTGTACATCTGTTCTACAAAGTCTGTTACAGATTCAGAACTACTGTTTCAGATTAGAACTGTTCCCTAATACAGATGTCTCTTATAGTTGAGAAAGAATAGAGACTGTTCTGTTATAGAGTGTTACTAGTTATTGTATACAAATTCTGTCAGAGCTAACTATTCAGACTAATCTAACTACTAATAATTAATGAACATTTAAAGATAGAGCTCAATATCCTGATTGACTTACTCAGTTTGACTATTAGTCTGTAAGTAATATATAGTAGAAGAGTTCCCTTAAATTCTAAGAAGAGTGTACAAGTCTTACATGAATTTTAACTTAAATTATAGTTTACAATTATGAATGAGCTTCTGAGAGAGTCTGTACAACTAGAAAACATGATTCTGATAAATACACACTATACTTTCAGAAGTAAGTTCTGTTCAGGTCAGAACTGTGTAGACTTACTTAAAGAATTAATTAACAATCATACAGATAGTATTGTAACCTTAAGACTTAGGTAGCTTACTAATCAGGTCTACCAAGACTTCTTTCTAAGAGTAATCTAGAATCTGATACAAATGTAGAGGAGTCTAAACCCTTGTCTAGTAAGCTTTAGTCTATTAGTATGTATTATAACTAGTTACATACTTTAGAATTTCTCTCTACATTTTTAACTACTAGTAGTTCTGAGTAATAAGTTCCTGTGTTTTGTGTTAGCTTAGATGTCTTACAGTCAGATTGTTGTAATAAGCTCAGACAATATTCTCTTATAGCTTTTAATCCTTCAGAACATACAGTTAGTCTTTTTAGTAAACTTGTCTATCCTTATCCTCCTCCTAGTCTCTAGCCTACTTCTCTAACTACTTTACTACAGCCTAGTCCTATGTGTGTCTCAGAGCTTACTGTATGTAAGTAATAAAGTCAACATTCTTAGATTCAAGTCAGATCTCTTAGATTGTCTCAAACACAAAATAGGAATTGTCTAAGAGAACAAGATTTTTATTATTATTCTCTCCTCTTTCATAACCTACTTGTCTTAAGAGTAAATCAGCTTTTATTATTTGTATTCTAGGTTTGTGAGTTAGTACAAAGTTATAGTTCTACAGTTCTAACATCTAGTAGGCCTAGTAGTAGTTGAGCTTCTAAGATGCCTAAAAGTATCAGAGATTAAGGTAATCACTTTAAATCTTAAACTTTTGTACAGTACTAAGGAGATATTAATACTACTTCTCTAAGGAACAGACAATTGTAAGGAGTTCCTTATTGTAAATAGAGTAGTTCTGTTCTGTTACAGAGAGGGATTCTGATTAGAACACTATTAGATACTACTTTCTATTAATGAACTAAGATAGTACTACTCTATTTACAAAGTCAGAAGAGTTGGCTTCAACTCAGAACTTGTTTACAACTGTCAGAACTACTAATACAGGCTTACTAGTAATAGTCTACTTGAGGACTCAAATACAGACTACTCCTAATCATTCTATTACTAAGAAACATTTTTACTAGTAAGATTGTAAAGAGGCTAAGTAATAGTACTAAAGTCTTAGATAAAGTATTAGTAGTAGTTTATAAACCTAAGGAATGTTTGGACCTGTTTCAGGTTCTAAGGTTGTAACCAGTTCCAAACTATAGTTACCTTTACTAGATTCATACAGACCTCTCCTCTACTAATTACAAAGCCTAAATAATCAACTGACTCTTATACAAAAGAACACTTTACTTTTTAGAGGAACAGTTTATTATTTTAGAGCTACTATAGAACTGTTCAGATTAGTTAGTAATAGTACTCAACTGTCTAAGTAAAGATTAGAATGTTGTTTAGATACACACTAACATACTCTGAGTTAATCAGATCTGTAAGAATGTAATTCATGAATGACTAGAATGTTATAAACAAGTTAGTTAGTCTAAAGAATATTATAGTCAGTTTGTAAGGTCTACAATTAGTTTAGAATACAGTCTTCTACTCATCTCTGTCTTAGATCCAAATATTATTGTATTCCTATCAAATATCTAGCTTAGTAAAGACTTAGAATGTATACATCTTATTAATAAGCTTCTGAATTAGAGAGAGTAGGTACTTGTTTTTAATAGTACTCTTATTAAGGTAACAATAATTCTAGACTAGACAGAGCTTCTTATCTTTCTTTTTGACAAAGAAGAAAGGAGAGACTATAAAGGACTTTAAGGGTTGGATCTGACTGTTCTGAAGATTTTTCTGAAGGAACTCATTAAGTACTTCCTACTCATCTCTGTTGAGTAGATAGACCTTACAATCCTTAGGTTAGAAACCCTTAGTCAACTCAATTATATAGTCTTAAGAGTAACATTTAGAAAGCTAGTCAAATTCCTCTTTACTAAAGTCTTTAGGAAACTCTCAGACAAAATCTAGTAGACTGAGTCTATATACATTCTAGAGTAGAGTTGTTCTGAGTAAGTTCTAGACTGGTTCTTTCTTAGAAATCCTTTAGATTAACACTATTCTGTCTTAACTAGAATATGTGTTTATATATCTATCCTAGTCAAAGAAGAACAACTAGTCACCTTTATTAGAATTATTAGTAATATTAGAAACATTTGTATTTACTTAGAACAGTAGTATAAGGTAGCTGTAAGACTTAAAACACTAATTAAACACAAGTGTCTACTCTAACTAGTTAATAGTAGAGTTGTAAGCCTTAAGTTATTTGAATCTAATAAAGATATCTGTTTTTCTAAGGTTAGTAACTCTAAACTTAATACTTTCCTTATAATCCTAAATAGTTATTTATAGTTGAACAAACTTAGTGATTCAACTATTCTAGTTTAAGGTTCTATCTATATTATATACTAGGATTAGAAGTAGAATACATTAGGTAGGAAGGTAGTGTTTCTATATAAAGGCTTTATTAATGTATAAACTAGTGTATTTACTATCTATTAGAACTATTGTTTAAATCTGAGAGAATCCTGAGAAGGGAGTAAGGAGGACAGGGACCTAAAGCTAGTACTTAGAACATTCTCTAATAAATTACTACTTGTTCTGAAGGGAATGTACAGCTTGTACAGTCTTATTATCTAAGAGAGTAAGTATATGTACTAATATTTCCTTATTAACCTCTCTCTTTTAACAAGGATAGACTCAGATCCTCAACTACAAACTTAGTTAAGACTATCTCTACTTAATACTATAGATAAACTACTGAGTAGTAAACAGAGCTGAGTAGTATTCTAAACATTCTAAGTTCTTAGAATACAGAAGTAGTAAGTTAGATTGTACAGATTTAGACTTAGATAAAGTGTGAAGAGAAGAATTAAAAGAATCAGAAGAAATAAGAGAACTATCTACTTTTGTTTTTGACTTTTTCTTTTTTAATAAATAATTTTCTAGATTTACTTTTTCTACTTTTTCTACTTTATTTACTTCTAGTCTTACAGTATCTATTAAATCAAAAGTAGCTGTTAAAAAATCTGAGTTATAGCCCTTTAGTACTACATTTACTGTTAGGTCTCTACAAAATCCTAGAGTATATAATTAGA